CGTCAATGCGATCGACCTTCATGATGTTTAACTACCCTTTGTCCCGGTGATGGCTGGCAAATTAAATGGTCAACATACAAGGGTAATCTTTGGCCGGACTCAAAGAGAGAAAGAGAGAACATGTGTGTGCGGATTTACCGTAATGTATGTGATAATAAATGAATCACAGGTCGGGAAATTTTTAGTCTGCAGTGCATCAAGTCAAGTCAAATTAGGTGAAGTCAGACGGAGAAGATAAAAATCGGGACTGATTTGAATGCATTTTGTTCTCATCGACCTGAACCCGTGAGCAGTTGCCTCAGACGCATTTCCAGGTCCTGCACGCTAACACGCATATACTTCTCTCGGTGCGAGGTGAAGCCTAAATTTGCTGATCGATCCCAAAATAAACGATACGGCGGAACCAGATCAGCAATCAGTTGGCGCTCCAAGATTTCTCTCAACTCTTTGTCAGGCACGGTGACACCCGCGTGTTGGCGGATTAGATTGTTCAAGCCCATATTGAAATCCTGTGAAGAAAGGAGAACAGATCATCAGATTGTATGCAGGTAGAGTATACTTCTATATGCAGATGAAGTCCTCCCAGAAAACCGTACCGGGGGGAAGGGGGCGTACCGAAAAGGAAGCTAACTCAACTTGCAATCACCGAATCACATTGTCACGATACAAACAAAACGAGCAGTTAAAACAAGGGATACGCAAATAACGAACGAAGTGTATATGGAAATTGTTCCAATAGTAATTGTCTAGTATTTTCAAAACAGGATCCTGTAAGCACGTATATGGATTGTTGTGGCATGCTCGGCCGGACAACCGTTTTAATAGTCAGCTGCTTTGTTTGTTATGAACTTTTATTGCATTCTTTACTGTGATGATGCGAGCATTATAGACCAAATATCTGATCGATGAAAATTTTCAGTCCGAGCCCTGATAATGGGAACAGAAAACTGCATAAGACCCCAATGGGATGGTGTAGGTGCTGCACTGAATAGGACGAATGCCAATTTGAATAGCACCTAATAATTATACAGAATCTAAGATTCCGTAACTATCGGAATACGCCAATGGAATGATAATTTGCAAAGCTATCTCATTGTTTGAACAATGAGAACAATCAAGGAGACCGTTTATGAAGATGACCAGATGAGTTATTGCCTAAAGTACAACAAAAACTGGTCAGTGGGATGATTCCTGGTGATTAATTAATACCACATTGCAGTATTTTCAAATCATTCAAATGCAGGTTCACATTAAGGTCGATCCCACTAAACTCCCACTGTTGGAGTTCAAGTGAATAAGAAGCAAACCTCGAACAGAAAAGCATTGCGTTCTCCCAAGCTAGAAGCTCCATACTGGTCTGAGGTATTCTTATTTCAGATACAATATAAAGCCTTCTTAATACCACTCCCTTTTTTGGAAAAATCCAATAAGCGAAACTCGTAGTGTTTTTTACATCGGGATCTATAGCCCTTCGATATGCTTTTGTGATCATTCTGCTTCAGCCATAATGCGGATATGGAATACTCCGCTCCGCATCATGAATGACCAGATAGACAGGCAAGCCTACATTAGCACCACGTCGTTATCAACCCGCCGCTGTAAATTAAGCACGGTCCTGAGTTCCACACTGTCAGTTCGGAATATTGTCATTTCTTCACACAGCCTATTGGTGCATGAGCGGAAATCATGCAGTTTATTATGATGATCAGACAGATGTTTACTGTAGTTCGACGCTCACACGTTTTGCTGTTCACAGTACAGGTGATCGAGAACGATTTCTGTGTTGTGCGAGACCACAAAAAAGTAATCCTGGTGCTCACAGGTGGTGGCCCGGTGTTCACGTCATCAAATTATCACCCCGGGATGTGTTCGAATCCCACCACCACCGCATGACTTTCCCTATGGTGTGTTCAGTGACAGCCCCTTGATTGGCCGCTTCCTCTTTCTGAAAAGAGGGAAGAAAAATGATAAGAAGATTTAGAGAAATCAATCCTAAACGGTTTATTAGCTCTGCTTGGCAACCTATCAGAACCCGTTCGGATGGTGTCTCGTCGATTCAATAAACGCAGATTCAATTTATGGAGATGCATTTGGAGTGGTCAGCGAGATGCAAATGTAACGGGGGAGGATTAAAGATGAAAACTGAACATTCGGGACAGAATATTTGTTATTCAATCATGATCGGCTAAGAAGTGCTTTAAAACGCACCTTGGAAACTAAAGAAGTCGTGCACATGTTTCACGCGCACTGCAGTAGAAAAAAACGTATATAGTCACTTGATCACTCCATACAAACTAGGCGAACACCTGTGAAATCAACTTGGGAGGCAGATAAATAAAGCGCGGACGTCCAAATCTCCAGGGGATGGCACCATTTACCACAAGACAGTCTGCATGACTTGACGGGTAATTGGTGTTATATCAAGGCTGTGGAGGGGGGGGGGAAGGTTGGAGAACAGTGTAGTCTCGTTCGAGCTGATCGCGATTTCCTAAAAATGTGTGACAGCATTTTGTGCATCGCCTTACTTTGAGCAGGATACATCTATAAAGTGCTTTGTTTTTGACACGCATTCCGCCTCACTAAATATGAGGATTCCTTGTTATTTCTTCGTTTTGTAAATTTATCATTTAACAATGCTTTCAGCATCCCAAGCTTCTCTTCACCGTTTCATCCACAAGAGGAGCCAAAACCATCGGACGAATGTGTATGGTTATTGGTCGTAAAAACTAAAAGCTATCTCCAAATCCTTCAAGTTTTATTTACGATTAGCTTCCTCTGTGGTATAAAGGTCAAAAATAGCTGCTGCGCTTTAAAAATTATCGAAAGTGAGACTGATGCAGATCAGGGCCCAGGCCTGAATCTAATAGTACATATTGTTGACGGTCGCCAGATCAAAGGCTTCGATTCCTTTTTTGACGGTGTTAAACCACGATTTTAACTGTTCACCAGAGCGACAGTGCCACCCTGTCCAGAGTGATGAAGCGGTACTATCTCATGAATTCCGTAGCTGAACAAAGTAAAACGTGATCAAACTGGAGATCTGCGGTCAGAGCAGCTCCACCATACCGGCTACGTCACAGACAGAACCAAAGCAACGTGGTAGATTGATGATGAATGGGTAGTAACGGCTCCACTGAATAAGCGAAAGCGGATGATCGGCGGAAATGACCGAGAGCATGGAGGTTTTTGCTTCTGGGAGCAAGCTTTCTTGAATAAAAAGAATACCCGAAGAAAGGATCGCAACGTGAACGAATGGGGTTTGCCACCAAATAGGGCCTTCGCCAGCACTCCATTCGTCCACAGGTATCACTTGGTTGAGCGTAGGCTAGAGGAGGATCATTGAACAGAAAGTTGTGTGCTATTGGCAGTGTTACTTCGTGCCACACTTTTCGAGGATTTCATCAAGAAGCAAACCTATACTCCTACAGAAGAACGCTGGATAAAATAATTATCCTTGTTATAGAAACTGCTACAGCCACTCAATGTCTTAGCAACGTTATTTTACCGGGGAATTTGTCGCGTCAACGATCCGTCGTCGGCAATACGTGATGGACTCCTTATGTAACTATTACGGGAACAGGATAAAATAGATGGTCGTTGTTCGAACATCCCTGTCTACGTCGCAATAGACGAGTCTGGTGGAAAAACCGGACGAGCAGTGCTGAGGTTAGGTGTACAGTTTAAGGTATTCGCGGTGGTACATTGGAACAAGTGGTTCACCTCCAAAAACTAAGTTGGTTGGGGTATATATTGCGTATGTCACCAAATAGGTTGCCGCGGTGAGCGATGTTTGTCGAGACAGGAAACGGTTGGAAAAAGGTCAAGAGTGGTCAAACTAAGACCTGACATGAGGGTATGAAAACCTTAACCAGGACACCGGGTCACCTAAGTCCGGTTAGGCACCCGAAAGCGGGTCCCTGAGATCATGGTAACCCGTGGTTAGAGACACTGAGTGATATGGTTAAGTGTCACAAACAGTGATGCCCTTACATCTACTTATTATTCTTGCGATCCCTGTCTATATAAATTTTCTCTCAGCATTCCAATCTTCATGCTGCTTTTTATCCAAATGGGCGGACAAAAGACAGCAACCAAAACCGACACACAAAAGTGCATGGTTATTGGTTGCAAAAACTGAAACATAACCTCGTATCCTTTGAGAATATTATGCTTTGATTGAGCTGCTGTACTGTTCACTCGGCAAGCTGCAGAAAGCCACTACTTGGCCTGTTGATCACACATTGTAGTGAGAATAGAAACGACAGATCGTGCACCATTTCGAGGGCCCATTATTCGCTTGATGGAAATCGGGAACATGAGACGTGAAGCTCTGTATCGAGGCGAACTGGATAAGATAGATGGAAATCATAGTACATGGTGACGCAGACACCAGAAGGATGGATTCTGATAACCAGTCAGGTGTATCACATTTGATCCGCCCATTTGATGAGGGTCAACCGCGGGAGTCAAATAGCAACATTCCTTTCACAGACGTCTGTAACGTGTGGCTTGAGTCATGACCTGCACTTTGATGTGTTCGATCGTACCTGTACATTCTTACCGCAAGGATTGAAATTCTGTACCCTCCATGATACAATACCGGTGTCCATTAGCATTTATCCCGGAGTTCTGTTTCTACCTAGAGTGGATCCCATGATTGAAGAGCCTTCGATTCATTGGCATAGCTACGATTAAATGCTGAGGATTTGCACAAAATATTCCGTGAAATTACTCTGCCCTGCTACTAAACCAAAGTATGAAACAATTAGATGGAGACAGTTTAAGTAACAACAGAACCGCAAAAGTACATAGAGAAAGACATTCTTAATCGATGAGAATAAGCTTTCCTTAGGTGCAGAAAAAGCAGAGGGGGTAGCAAAACGATTTCTCGTAAGCTGTGAAATGGAAAAAGTGAACGCCTTTGGACGGTGATATTACCTTTAACATTATTTACAATATACCTCTTCTCAAAGCAACTTATTTTTTGGAAACGGGAAGCTCCTCCGGAATTTTTTTCTTCTAGTATGCACGCGTGAGGTTAGTGTGTGTTTTCAACCTGCGGTTTTATGCAGTGGTTTAGTGTATTATATGTAAGAGAGAATGCCACCACACAATCCATCATACAAACGGTCAGTAAGCAGTCTTACCAACGCCAATTGATTTCAGAAGTCGCTATAGGTTCTTAAAAAGTAGCTGAAGAACCACAGGAAACCCGTAAATCTGATTATATGGTGGCGGTATAGCACCTCTTGGCTCTATGTTACACTGTAAGTGAAGGATACAGAAATACTGTTGATCGATCGTCGGGAACCGATGTCGTCACAGAAAGGAACCTGTCCGATAGAAAAATCGAGTCAGAAATGGTATGTACTAACTAGTTATTGCTAGACACAAGTGAGAATGCGTGAATTCCACTCATCCAAACAGGCATGTTCCACGAACAGCGTGTCACAATAAAAGCGTCATTCCGTGATCGCGGAAGGGTAACAGAAGAATGCTGTACAATGTAGACAAGGATGAACTTCCTGGTTAGTGCCTAAGGGGCCAAGTTTATGAACAGTTACAGGAAATGGGGGAGCTGAACAATTTTGATCAATCTCTTCGCACATTTAGTTCTCTTAATTCGACTAACCTCAAGTGAATTTCGATGTGCGAGCAATCGAATGGTTGAGTAACAAAAGGTTTGTAAAACTAAACAGCTATCAAAATCTAATTTAGTCAACACTACGCAACTGACTTGCCGTTAGCAGACAGTGAGGGTAGCACTGATTGGCATGTGCATATAACTTCTTGGTGGCTTCAGCCATTCGGTATCACAAAAGAAGTCGAAGCGACTTACATGCCATAGCGATTTGAGTGCCGCTCGTTCTTTGGCATCCATCTGAAAGAGCGAAAAACGAAATGGGTAAAAATGACCGAACAAATTGAAGGACCGAGCTGCATGCATTTCATTCCATACAAGCACAGAGTGGAGAGTGGAACACGGTTGACAAACATGAGTAACCATACAGACACAGAATCGACACTCACTGCCCGACCGGATGAGCCCGTGAAACGCGAGAGTTGATTTGCGTTCGGAATCATCAGACAGTTGATGCAACTGCAACGATTGGCCAATAAGCGAGTAATTGGTGGGCGTGGACGGGAGCACACACACACGGGCAGAGGAAAACATTTAGGGGCAAAACGGACAGCATTCGGGGAACCCGATCTCAGACATGTAGTTCGATAAAGAAGACCAAAAGCGAAATGCAGTAAATAGAATTAATCATCGATGAAAATGAGATCGGGATAGACAACTGAGTTGTTCAAGCAATCAAATGAATAAATGTACTATGACACTACACGCTAACCAGTTATTCGTAACCATGCCAATGCAACACGAAAGGGGATGCAAAGATACGGGGGAGGGATTAGGTTGAGAAATAGTATCTTCATATTTAAGTCTAAGGGGATAAAACTCCGTATGCCCACTAATTCTTTTATTGCTGTGCTACATAAGCATAACTACCAAACATTGAAACCCGGCTTGAGCCATCGTAATTATGTAGTCGTGTGATGAGCAGACCACAATACGGCCAGGTGAACCGATAGTTTGTGGCTCACCGGAGGACAACAGTGATCAGACGTTTCTCAACTACAACAAGCGGATGTGCACACACGGATAAAGAAAATTCGGCTGATTTAGAGACTGTACCAAATGGATTAGACCATGGAAAAGCGGTTACCGATCGAATAAATGGAATCAAGTCACTTTATTTCAAAAGCAACCATGCACTACTACACGATAACGATTCCGAAGGAAAACAACAAAACCAAAAGTCAGTAAGGACAACATTCAGCGTTAAGCGCACATGGGTAGAAACTCTTCGAGATAATTTTCTTAAACTGGAAACCGAGAAGAACGGAACAAGTTAGGGATAGGATTAGATTTTTAAACAGGAATTATTTAGGTTGAATAAAGCTACAAACCTGATACTGGATTCTGAATCAATTCGTACCCCCGGAACAAAACTCAGTAATGGATGAATTCCGGCTTAGATGAATCCATTGGAAACAGATTTTAAAACGTTTTAGTGACATCTGATTTTCCATTAGGGATGAAAAAGAGAAATTAGAAGGCACACGAAAAGGAAATACGTGAAACTACAGATGCATAGATAACAAAATAGTGGTGACTGAACTCTCCTTTAAGAATCAAGATGCGGCAAATAAGCAACAGTATGCAACGAATTCAGCGGATTCATGCGAAAATAAAATGATTTTGCAAACAATAATGGGATCAGGTGCATCCAAATCTTGGATTCTAAGGCAGCATAAAAGTAAGGACGAAGAAAATCACGGATCGGAGCAAAATCATGCATGCTTTGGCGTACAATAGGAATGGGAGCGAGAGATTACGAGTCGGAGTGGACGGGATCAGATACTGGATCGGGCATGCATATTTGACTCCGTCGGGCTTTTCACATGGTACCCAAAACTAAAGTGACCGACGAAGCAAACACCGGTAATCAATAGATTATAACCTTGGTTAAATGATCTGCACAAATGGAGCCAGTTTCCAGACTACCGTCTGTCTCGCTGCTCAGAGTGTTTGTGGACGTGACGGACAAAGTACTCTGCGGTCGCAGAGATGTATGAGTCAAAGTGGGTGAGAGAACCGAGGCAAGCGCTGCACCGAATTGCGAGGCTCGGCGACGCAAAGTGCTGGAAGCACATTCGCCAGCTGAGGGCTGCAAACGCAACATGGTGGTAGCACTGATTGGGCGAGGGAGGCGGGTGGACGAATGGGTAGGCGAGCGGATATAGATACGTGCAGGCAAACAAAAGAAAGCTAAGTAAAAACAAACAATGTGGATCCAAATAAAATCGAATAGTTTAGCAATTGAGATGAAGGTAACATAAAACACCGAGAGTGTAGTAGGATCCTGGAAAACAGTTTCAAGAAACCTCAACCTTGAAGTCAACAGGGAAGTGTAGAAAATGATCAGAGATTTACTCCGGGTGTGGCAGTCGAATGTCAATACAAGGTCGTTGATCACATGAAACGTTTGTGCTGACTCCTAGTACATTCCAATCAGGAGACAGCATCCTGTTCAACTCCTATTACGATGATGAGTGGCAATACAGGACAGTTTCAGAGGTGTATGAGTGTATAAACGGAACACAGGGTAGGAAAACACAATTAACCAAACTAACCGACTTCTCTTGTTGTCAAGGGCGATTGCAGAAAATTCAGGTGCAAACATACAGAAGAACCAACGGAACAGACAAGAATCACCGTGAGACAGAATAAAAATAAAATATCAAGAGTGGCGTATAGAGAAGGCGCGTCTTTCTCACTCTTGTCAACGCAGCTGAGGGTGATATGAAGGCATAATGCTGTTGGTGACCAGGTGGTTGCGGATTCACGCTAGACGGAAGAAACATATTTTTGGTTCGGTTTATGTAACTGGTCAGGGCATGCTTCCTAAAATAAGCTGGTTCTCTCCCTCAACGCACTGCATAACAATAGGCATGCCAAATCACCAAATTCCTTGTACACAGAGACACCCCATGTGGTGTTCTGGTTTGATAATTAAGTATACACACCAGTTGAACACAATCTCGTTTTATTTGTGGTGACACCAGATAAGTAGAGGGTTGGAAAGCACATGATTGGGCAGCAACCAGTGATGAGTTGGGTATTTCAAACAAAACCCTATATACCTAAGGATTGTATCAAAAGCCAAACAGCAAATAAACTCGGCTTTCAGAATCGGCAAATAACTAAATAGTTGCAAAGAAAGTGGTAAATGAAATATGAATAGCTTTAAAGATAGTCAAAGTAAAATAGGCTGTTTGGACAAGCACTAGAACCAAAAATGTCCTCAAAGCAATGATATGCATGGGTGTGTCAAAAGTGTCACAAAGAAATTACGCTCTGCAATTTGCAGGTAGCATATGGGTAGCTGGGTGATCAAAATAGCATCGTCCTTCTCTTCCTGAAAATGACTTGAGGAATGATGTAATTAATGAAAACAAATTACGAAACAAGCTATCAGGGGTAACGAGTGACAGAGTATTAATTAATTATTAGCTCAGCGGTTTATGCCTTTGTAGATGGACAAAATGGGTTTGTTGCGCAGCTGAGACTCAAGCGGATAGCTAACAGTGGCAATGTCCGTCTGGAATGTTGTGTTTAACCAAGGACAAACATTTGTTCAATGCGCAACCTTTTAGGAATATAGTGAATACAAGATTTGTTGGTGTATTACTACGACTACTATTTCGTTTTCCTTAACGAAATACCGAGTTTAGAAAAGTGACAGAGATGTGGGCAATGAGTAGTTGTGCAAACTTACTGAAATTTTCCGTAGCTACGATAAACCGAGAATTCTGCAAAAAAGACTAATGAACGCCGAAGAACCCATGCATTTTCAAACAAAACACTGATACCACTGCATTTAACACCAAAAACCGTCATATGCTCATGACTACCTTCGTATTCACAGCTTGTATGCAGAGACCAAAAAGACCGATCAAGATACTCACACTTGATGAGTGTGATAGCACCTCTGGCTCAGGAACAGGTCATGTTTCTACAAAACAGTTACTCTCCTTTGCTCCAACCCGATAACTCAATCCTTACATTTGGCTATATGAAGTTGTACGTACATGTGGTACTAGACGGTAACCGTACGGTAAGCGAACTAAACCATGAGGAGATAGTCGTGATCCGTGAAACACGGTTATTCACAGCTTCACAAATGCATGTGAAACAATTCCAGCAGACTGGGCAGACAAAATCGGATTTGTGATCAAACGAACCGAAAGATGGTGCGATTGTAAAGAAAGCGGACTACCTTTAGCATTAAACTTGATTGCATAAAAGCTAGTGGTGCATTCACGAAAACCGAGCGAATTTGGAGACGTCACTAGTACCGAATCAATGCGAAATTTTATGAAATCCTCATTTAGTCGACCCATCGTCTTGCAGGAGATAAACTGAATAGGGGAAATGCTATTGGATATGCTCGACAGTATTGGATGAATGGTAATTAATGTGGTGTCCATATGAGGCGGGACTTCGGGAGTCAACTTCTAGGGACGAAGTAGAAATCCTGAACTTATAATTCATTTGTGTTCCAAATCAATACACTGAAAATGCAACCAAGACGGAAAGCACCCGTACAGGATTTTCTAGGCTTTTCAGTGGTAAGTAACTGGTTGAGTCTGAATAACGAACGGCATAACTGTTCAAAAAATCAATCTCAAAAACATCACTTCACATCAACATCTTAAAACGTCACAAACTACGTGGATCACACACAGAGATTGAAATATATGAGATCGAATTAATACATAAATATTGCATTGTCCCAGAGGTAGACGTACACGAGTGAATAGCGACCACGACGCTCGTCCATGATCGAAGTTATGCGAGCGATCGCTTCAGAATCATAGCTTAGCAGGTATTTATGTAATTGGGTGCTGTTCGATAAAAGATAGAGTTGGGAGGGATAGAAAGAGAGACGGAAGAGAAGAAGGGAAGGAATAGAGTTGAATCAAACTGCAAAGAGTGAAACTGGGTTTAACCCACTTCGGAAACAGTATATTTATTGCGAACATTGGTGACGAACTTAGGTGACACTCACTTCTTTGTAATCAAGCCCGCGCAGTGATTTGCTTATCACGAGATCGATTATGGAACAACCTATAGTATATATATATACCACCGGCTTGAAAACAAGCATGGTGCCAACGCAACAACAATGACAGTGAAGGGGATAGGTGGATTAGGATACAGAACATGGTGAAAAGTGGGTGAGACAGTTAAACATGGAAAATACAAGATAACAGAATTTTTTTGTGTGTGTGTTTCACCGTACCCCTTTTGCAATTTTTTTTGTTGTTTGATGTTTCGTTTTTCTTAATGGGCACGGGATTTCG